GCCACCTCAGAGATGAAACAGCATCTCTGACGCTTTTTGCCACACAACTGCTGCAAGCTGCTATTTTATCCCCCAGTGCTGCATCCTGCTTCAGTGAGTGCCGTTTGCTGCACTTAACCTGCAGTACAGACAAACCCAGCTGGGTGCTGTTCCAGACCCCGAGCCCCCCGGTAATCCCACCGTTATGCTACTGCAGGAAGGAACAAAATATTCCCTTTTTTTTTTTTCTCCTGTCCAGCACTGGTTGTGACACAAGAGCCAGCCCCTCGTCCCTCCCCACAGCCCCACAACCACTGCTAAGTCATGGAGGCATCACTACAGCCATTTCTGCGTTACCAAGAAACAGGGAGAAAACCCAGAATTCTGAAGGATAATACCAGTTCTTTAGAAATCACATCTCACTGCCATCACCCACCTTCCCAGCCCTTTATCCCATCGCAATTTCATCTCCTGTCTCTCTCTCTCTCTCTCCAGAGCCTGCTCAGCATATGCAAGTCCTCCCTCCTGCAATGGCCTGAGGAGCCTCAGCCCCCCCTGACATTTTCACACGGCTGATATCCCCCGGAGCAGATCCCCCCGCCTGCCCTGCCTCCCCAGCCCCGGCTCGGGGAGCATTGTTCCCCAAGATGCCTGTCAGCGGCCGCCGGGCTGCGGGAATTCCAGGCTTTCTCCCGAACTGCTCAATGAGCAGGTTTCATAATGCTCGTATCCTGTCAATAGAGGTCGAAGGATGCACCGAACGCTCCGGATCTTGACAGTTTATTCCCTCTCCCTGCAATCCTGCTCCCGGTTTTGAACACTTAGCATTTATACCTACGGACAACGCTGAGTGCAATACAGAAATACAGATCGCTACTCACCTTTAAATAATTTTACTCACGATTGAGACACCGACATCACAAATTCAGCGCTCGCCCTGCTTTAGCAATATCGCTCCGAGAGGAAAAACATCAGCCCTTGCCTAACCCTGCGCCGCGGTGCCCTGAGCGCGGCGTTCGGCGCTGCTGCAGTCTGTGTCTCTAGCACAAGTCTGCCATATTTTTTTTGTTAAATCAGGCCTGTACCCACCTAAGAGCGGAGCCAGCCCCGAGCGGCCGAACCGCCCCCCGCACCGCGCCGCTCGCTGCGGGAGCGCTCGGACCGCAGCCCCGCGCCCCCGCCCGCAGCGCTCCCGCACACAAAGCCCCGCGGCGGGCCGCGCTGTCAGCGCCCCCCGCGCCGCCCCCCGCCCAGGGTGCCGAGGCAATCGGGCATTACGTGCGTTCCGGGGCAGCAGCGCAGAGCAGGGCAGAGCAGGGCAGAGCAGGGCAGAGCAGCAGGACCGCACCGCACCGCGCGGGGCGTGCGGCTGCGCGGGGGCGGCACCGCGGGCGGCTCCGGCCGGGGGAGGGAGCGAGCCGGGCGGGCGGCGGGGCAGGGGCGGTGGCCGCGGCCCCCGGGGACGGGCCGGGCCCGCAGGGCAGGGCCGGGCAGGGCAGGGCGGGGCCGCCGCGCGTCTGACAGCGCCGGGCCCGCTCCCCGCTCCGCGCCCGGCAGCGCGGCGCTCCCCCCCGGCTCCCGATGCGCGGCTCCCCGCCGGCCCTACCTCCGTGCTGCGCGGCTCTCGCTCGGTGCGGAGGGCGGGCGGTGCCGGCGGTGCCCGCAGCCCCCGGCGCTGCGCTGCGTGTGCTCCGCCCGGCGCGGAGCGAGGGGCGAGCGAGGGGCGGGGACAGCGCGGGAGCCCCCGCCCCGCGCCCCTGCCCTGCGGAGGGCTCGGCGCGGCCCCGCATCATCCCCCGCCCCGCATCGCTGCCCTGCGGAGGGCTCGGAGCGGCCCCGCATTATCCCCCGCTCCGCATCCCTGCCCTGCGGACCCTGTGGCGCGGGGGGCTCGGCACTGCCCCCCCTCATCTCCCCGCATCCCCCGGGCACCCTCACCTGTGCTGCTGCTGCTGCGGGGCCTGCCCTGCGCTCACGCCAGGTCTTGCCCCTCCGCCGGCCCGCGCTCCCACAGCCTCCCGCGGGTGTTACCCAGCCGCTCCCCGCTCGCCTTCCCTTCTCCCGTACATTTATTTGGTTATTGGGTCTCTCCAGCCTTCTCGCCCCTCCTCCTCTGACACCCGCTCCTGTCGCAAAGACAATGTTGGCTCGCCCCCAGCATCCATTTCCTCTAGAGCTGCTCTCCCTCCCGCTGCTCTGTCATTCCTAGTGGAAACCCCATCCCGGCTTTGACTTCCTCCACTGCAGTCATCCTCTCCCGCTCCCGTCCTGCCACCTTCCCACATAAACAGCCTCCCTTTGACAGTGTAACTCGACCCCAGCTGCCCTTCTGCGGCACTCTCCCTTTTCCTCCTTTCCTAAGCTGGATTTTCCCTGTCTTTCCCGAGAAAACCGCTATTCCCACAGCCAGGGTTGCCTTTCCTCCCTCCCTCATGCCCCTCTCCCACAGCCAAGGTCAGAGGCAGACATTGCTGCTTCATGTTTCCTGTGCTAATCCTGGTCCCTCTGCTCCCACCTATGTGTGTCCTCACCCTCCTCGTGTCCATCCTCCTTCCCTCCTCTCCACTCTCCCTCACCCCTTGCTTTCAGTACAGCTGTGGACCAGCGGTATCCATGTCCTTTGTTAAGGAATCAACAAACCTCCACTGGATTAGTTCACCTCTTCAGTTATCATTCCCTTTCCCGTGCTCTTCATCCCTGCACTCACCCCTAACTCTTTAACTGCTGTCTGCAGCTCCTCTCCTCTGTGCCTCTCCCAAACTCCCTCTCTGGCTCCTGCCCCTCCACACTCCGCTGCTTTGCCAGAGTTACTAATATCCACTTCCTGGCGTAATCTCTGGAATATTGCTTCCTTTCCAGCCTGTCAGAATTATCAGCCTGGCTCTTTGGGATATTTTGTTCTCCGCTGGTTTCCAAGACCGCTCCCCCAGATGCCTGATTTCCAGTGGGAATCTGAACAGACTAAGCCCCTCAAACTTGGGAAAAGCTCCTCTGGCATTGAGAAAGGCTCTCTGAAATGTCATCACCGTGAAGCCCACAAGAACCTCGATGAGAATATACTTCCATGTTTGTCACCTCTGCTGGTTCTCATCCAGTCCTTGGGATGCAGTAAAAATAGGTGTATAAATATACATATAAAAATTATATTCATATGCTAGGATATTAGGAAACATCCTAAAAAATCACCCTTCACTCAGCTATTAATATCCATCAAGCAAGTTGGCAGGGACAAGAGATTGCAATGTCTGGGAGTGAGCGAGAACATGCAGCGTATTTTAGGATTGTGTCTGTCTTAACCCCCACAGCTCAAAGAGGGGTGGGCCATTGATTCCCATGGAAATAACTGGGTAGAAATGAACGCCTGGAGAGGCAAGAACCAGAATATCCGGGGCACTGTGGGCTCCAACCAGTTATCCCAGTTAACAGTCACTTTCTTCTTTTTACAGAGCCCGCATTTGGTGCAGAATGGGGCAGGTACAGACATTTTGCTGCTGCCGGTTAAAAGCAGCATCTCCAGCTCTGACAGAAAGGACGATGGTCTCATTTTTGAAAATTACTGCACCTACTGGTCTGTATCTTCAGCACGAACCCTCCACTCACAGTGCTACAAAGCCCAAACATCCAGCTTGGTGACAACTCATCTGGGAGTAATTACAAGGTTAATTACCAGCAATTCTCAATATCAGTGAGTAATCCCAGTTAGACAAACAGGTTGTTCCCACTGATGGCCACATTCCCTTTCAATTAACCGAGCTGAAAGGGGTGGGATGAATGGGTATGATAGAAACTGTTGCTAAATGAACTGGAAGGGGAAACAACAAGTTGGGCGAAGTCATTCCCCTTCTGCTGTTACTTTGTAGTTACTTTGGGAAGCTCAAGGCTTTTTCCCTTCCACATATTTTGCCCAGGAAAATATGGATTTAATCTGCTTTTTTTTTTTTTAGTTTTGAAAATCTACCAAGCCACTGCACTCAGTAATATTGCCTGATGTTCATCCCACAGAAATATATCCACGTGCATACTGACACCTTCTCCAAGGGGAAAACACTGCACAGGTGTGTAAACACCTGCCAGACTCAGAGAGACAGGTTAAAAATAAATCCTAGTTGAAATACCCTAATGCACTTCTAAAAATAAAGTGAAACAAAATTAGAATGGTAGAATGGTTTAGGTTGGAAAAAAGCCCTCTAAGGTCACTGAGTCCAACCATTAACCCACCACAAGTAAACCATGTCCCCGGGGGCCACATCTGAATTTGCACAAGGTACTTCCAAGCAGAAACAAAAGCAGCACATCTAGATGAGACATGAAGAGACACAGTCAACCAAGGCGATACTGAAACTCGAAAAACTCTGCTCAAGGATGCTGGCAGTTCCCAAGAACATGGAAGACACACACACACACACACCCCCCCCAAGAAACTGCAATAAACTCCTTCCTGGCTGTACCCCTAGACTGGAAAAGCCCTCTGCTCTCAGAGTTCCAGTTCCACAGGTTCCCAGCGGGACTGAGGTACGTTCCTCCCACCAGACACACCTGCCCTCCACCCTCAACTCCTGGCTCAAAGGCACAGACCCAGACTGCCGCTTTGCCTCGTGCCAGACTCGGCCAGACTCCTGGGAGGAAAATCAAAGAGGGGCACTAAGCTGCCTGAAGGGAAAACTCAGCTCCCTCACTAGGCGCACAAGGCGCCTGGAAGCTCCTCTGGCACGAAAAGTTTCCTCGCAGAACTCCGTTCCTCCTCATCACCTGGGTTACAGCCAGCACTGCTACACCAATACCTTCAGCAACACCGCAAACAGAGAACAGAGAAAGAGGACTTCCTCAGCAAAAGGGCATGGCCATGCCCTTTTGCTGAGGAAGTCCTCTTTCTCTGTTCTACTGCTCTGTGCCCACAGCATTTATTCTCAACCGTCTTCTCCACCACCAGCTCCCCCCGAGCTCCAGGCCTATCTCTCCACGTGTCTCCCACATCCCAAACCCTGGAAAATGACTCAAGCGCAGGGCCCTTGCGAAGGCTTGGCCTCGGCCTCAGCCAGCTGCTGCCTCCTTCCCACGCCACCGGAGCCGGCAGTGGAAACGCTGACGGCGTGGAGGCAAAGATGGCTTTCCTGCCGCCCTGCCAGCATCTCCAGGCCGGAGCAGCCCTGGCAGGAGGCCCTGTGGAGGGACAGGAAGCACCAGCGAGAGCTGGCAGGGGCTGGGGCCGGCCTGCCACAACATCCCTGCGGACACTCCCGTTGCGTGAGAGGCATTAAATTAACACCTCGGGACCAGCTTTCACGTCCTGCGGGCTCCGCAGGGAAGGATCCACTCACAGGGGAATGGCTACAAAGAAATCCAGTCCCAGAGGGTGCACAGTAAAGTTTCTTGCCCCTCTAAAGCCCCTTTGGTGGTGCAGCAGCTTGAAGCTCAACCCCGTGGATAAAAGGTGTTGATGCACCGGAGTTTCCTCGTGGGCACTGAAAGGGAAAGGGGCAGGGAAGGTGTCCAAAAGCCTCAGTGTTTATCTGTCCCAAAGAAATCTGCACAATTCTCTGCGAAAACCTTTTCCCCTTGTTGCCAAACATTCTCTTCCCTTGTGCTTCACCATAGTTTTACTCCTCCATTTCCTCTAGGTGGATTAGAAACGCACCTAATTAGAAATTTAACAGTTTTTAGGCTGACAGAGAGTAGGTCTGGATGGGATATTAGAGAGAAATCCTTCCCTGTGAGGGAGGGGAGGCCCTGGCACAGGTTGCCCAGAGAAGCTGTGGCTGCCCCATCCCTGGGAGTGTCCAGGGCCAGGTTGGAGGGGCTTGGGAGCAACCTGGGACAGGGGAAGGTGTCCCTGCCCCTGGCAGGGGGTGGAATGGGATGAACTTTAAGGTCCCATTGACCCAAGTTATTCTGGATTCTATGAAAAATATACCCTGGCCAGTCTGTGTAATGTGACAAAAATAAAGTTGTTATGTACACTAGTCCATGAACCACTATAGAGTTAAATTCCTAGCTCTGAGATTCTATTCATTCCTCTGACATTATGGCCACTTTCCCTATAGCACCTGAAGCTGGGTGAAGGTCAGGTTAAGGCATCAGCACATGCTCGAACCCATCAGCACAGCCGAATTTTTAAGTGCTTTCTGCGGTGCTTACCTTGCTCCAATAACGCTGGGGTTGAGTTGCTGAGGCTGTGACCCCTTGTTCAGTTCCAGGCAGCCCAACCACGTGCAGGGATGTGTCTGACATCAGTGGAAACCCCAGCCAGGTGCTCTCACTGCTGGTGAACTCCCAGCTTGAATCCCACAAATGATGACTTTGGGTGTGATTCTCTCAGTCTCTGGTGGGCAAAGAGCTCCCTGGGCCATAATTCTGTGTTAGGAAGGGTCTGGCCAAAGGAACAAACAAACAAGAAGTCAAAAGCAGAGCAGATTTTAAGGGCTTAAGGCATGGCCTGCAGGATTTCCTCAGAGCTCCACACAGAGAGTCAATCCTTCCATAAAAATCTGACTTTCAAACTGCAGGCAAAAGTCCCGGAGTGTCTTAGAAACCCCAAGTCTCATTTTCAAGTGTCATCAGTCTCGCCTGTGCACAGGCTACAGGACCCACACTCCCTCACTGCTCCCTCAGTGGGGTTGGACACGCTGCCCACACAGCATCTCCCAGCCAGGAAGGGGAATCTATTGATGAACACAATTTTTGTCAGCCCCTACCCCTGCCCAGCCACATGTCCACAAACCACCAGCAACGCTCAGCAAAAACAATGAGAGAATCGTGGAACTGCAGTTGGGAAAGTTCTGGCACAGGAGGGAAACGTGGGCTCATCTATTTATAAGTGCAGTCTGGAGCAGTTTCACTGATCACCCTATAAATAGTGCCTTGCATGAAACCCAAAGCAGTGGATCTGCTATTTCATACCTTCCTGCTCCTTGTTCTGGAGCAGCAGTCCTCTGCACAACGTCCTTTCCCCTCTACTTCTGTGGCAATTTTAAAAGCTTTTTGAAGCTTATTTCTTGATTCCTGAATTCCAGGTCCAAACATCTCGTTTACACGAGGGGAAAAGGGCCAGGAGCACTATTTAGCCTTCTGCAGAAAGGATGTGAAGGGAAATCTTCCCCCTGCCAGGCTGTACCTACAACATTTACTTCAACACCTCCCCTGCTTCCTTGCAAACCCACTTGTAAAGGTACCAAACCCTGGAGGGAAGATTGGTGCCTCATTAGCAACACCAGCTAAGGTAGGAGGAAGGTTTAAAAGCCTGCTAATATTCTGATAATAACAGTTTATCCATGCCCAGAGGATCCCAGCCATCTGTCAGATATTCCATCACGAAGCAGAATGGGTGGATGGCTGAGGGGGAACGTTGAACTGCGGAATTAAATCTTAATTGTGGGATAGTTTCCTGGGCTCTTACTCTCAACTTTTATCTTTATTATAACTAGCCAGAGGTCACAATGGTTTAATTCCTGTCTTCCAGGGTGGATGTTATTCCCAAAGCCTAGAACAAGTTAGAGGGCTATTGTTTCATCCACTCTCCCTCCAGGAGCAAAAACAAAGTCAGAAAAAACCAGAGCAAAACTTACACAGCAGGTGAAGCTCCTCGCATCCTTCCTCTCCAGGAATCCTGTCTCCTGAAGCTTTATTTCCAGTTAACTGAGTAGTAGTGACCTCCTCCTCAGAGGTTATGACCTTTTATCCAGGTTATTTTCATGAGGAAAAGTGCAACTTTCACAGAGCCAAACAAGCTGATCTTTCCCCACCCAGCACACCCATTCTTCCTCACCTGGAAATCCACCTCTGCTCTGGCCCTGAGGGAGCAGCAGTTCCAAACCCACTCGGGATCCTCTGAGGCAAAACTGAGGTTGGGATGTCATGAAGAAACATCCAGGGGTTTCTGAACGTGCTGGCAATCCAGTTTCATACAAAAGGCTGGAATCTGGGAGTAAAAAAAACACCAAAATGACTATCAGGGAAGTGATAGCTGATGGGAAGAGACTCTGTACAGTCAAAGGTTGCTTGTTGTCCCTATCCCCAAGTACTTTTGGGGCCTTTGTGCTGTCTGTAGAAAATAAAACAAACAAAAGGGATAGCATAGGGATTTTCTCAGCCAGGAGATGAACATTTTTAATCACCTGACAGACCAGAATTTGATTTCCCCCCCTGCATTCACATTCCAGGCTCCTTTACACCTCAACACTTTCATTGTCTTCAGGAAATGGAAGCCTAGAACGGGAAAACTGCCTTTAACACAGGACAAAAAGAGTCTGATGCTGGAATTTCAAGATGAAATGGTAAAGATTTGTGATTGCAACTTTCCTCTTGAGTGCCTGGAGCTCACTGGGAAATGTCTACAGTTATTCAAAATCCCTACTGAAGTCACAGCGTTTGGATCTTCCTTGGGAGACTCGAGGATGCAGGAATTTGGTACAGTGTTGAACAAAACCAAAGCCATGGGTCACATTAACCACGTTTTGTGGTACAAGGATCTGAAACTCACAGGAGAATGTCCCAGAGTTTGTAGAGAAAATAAAGGGGGGATTTCTGGAAAAGCACAGCCCACATAATTGTGGTCCCTCCCCAACCTTACAAACACAGCTCCCCACTCCAGAAACAAACAGGAGCTGTGTTTACACGGGAGGAAGTCGTAGCTTGTCAGGATACAGTTGTATAAATAATTTCAAAAATGCCCCAGTACATACTGCATGTCCTTTCAGAAAGGAAAATAAGAGAATGGAAAATTCTGTTTTCCCACCGTGGGCAGAAAGTCATTCAAGTGTCTGTGACACACAGGCCAACGCCTGCTGGAAGTTTCCTTCCTTGAGCCTTGGATCAGCTCCACGGTGAAAACAGAGAAAGTCATCCACATCCTTCCAATTAAGGTGGAAGAATTCAGGGTGCACTTTCCACTTGGAATGCAAGTTCTGTGTTTATAGTGCACAACAGGAAAGGAGAACAAGGGTTAAATGTAATTACAAAGGAATATGGCAGGAAAATGCAGATTGTTTTCTGTGACTCTTTCTTTCATTTTAGTGTGATTCCCAAGAGCCAGAATAAGGCACGTTAATGAAGCATTAAGGGGAAAAAATGCACTTAAAAAAAAATAACCTTGCTCCCTGATGGATCAGAAGCCCAGACATGCTCTGTTATCGTGGTCCTTCAGATCATGAACCAACTCACCCCCCTACACTTGATGTGTGTTCCCAGGGAAGCTGGAATAGTATCCGTGGTACCTCTGACTCTGGGACAGCTGAGATAACCCAGACTCATTGTTTAACCACGTTTAATTCATGGCTTGGAGCTCTCATGGTTGCTGTCCAAGGGTGGTGATGGCAATAATTCCTTTATTGCTCTTTGGGCTCCCAGGAGTCTCCTGGTCTGTTCTCCCACGGAGTTCTGGTCTCATCTCACCCATTTTCCTCCCATTTTCCCCACTTCCACACTGGCTGCTGTTTACTGACCCAGACCCAGGAAGCCAGCCCGGAGCGTCCTCTCCTCAGAACAGCAGAGCCTGAAGGGGCTGAGATGGGGAACAGGTCCAGATTCAGATCCATGCCTAAAGAATGGCCGTTTTTCCTGAATTCCCTGCTCCAGATGAATCCACAGGGTGTTCCCATGGAGCTGGGAGCACCCAGGGACAGCAGCTTGGAGGGTGCCAAGGACTGGGCTGCAGCTGTGCAAGGGAAGGGTCACTCCATCAGCCCTGGGAATCACAGCCAGGCTGATTTCTGCCTTAGGACAGACTGGAATGCTGTATCCCTAGAAGCCCAACTACCATAAAGATCACAGAAATGTATTTCATCACTGTATTCCCCTTATAGATTTAAGTAGAAAAAGTGATGTGAAATTGTACGAGTTCAGAAATCTTCATAACTGACTTTGACACTGTGACAAGGGAAGAATCTGGGTCAAGTCCCTCTCCTGCCCCCTTTGTTTTCCAGGAGAAAAGGACGGCATTTCTTCTCTGTTACCGTGATTGCTGCACCTGCTTCTGAGGGCTACTCTCCAGACACAGAAAGAAGTTTAATACAGGGAAAGGATCAGACTGAAGCATAAAACTAGTTTAGCTCCAGCTCGTCATTTATCAAATCAAGGCATTCATTCCAATTTCCCAAGCAAAGGTCAAGCCAGTTCTGCGTGTGCTGAAGACAGAACACACTTCAGGCTCAACTCCACCAGCAAAGCACCAGATTCACCCGCTGAAGGTGATGGCAGAGGAATTCCCCACAGATAAAGTGCAAGTTTTTTCACCCATGTGAGTGATTAACTGTCAGGACCACTCCTTTTGGGATGCACTGAGAGGTCGTGAATTCTAGCAAATACCAGAATAGAAAGTATTTCTGAAGGTGATCCCGTGGCTTCAGGAGGAGCTTGAAGATAGATGAAGGCATTTCTCCCTGAGCCTTGATGACCTGTGCCATGGAAATACTAAATAATCATAGAGGTTTCTTCTAGTCTTAAAAAACAATATACAGACGCTTCAGTCACTTCACCTTCAACACTTGTTGGTAGGTTAATGCAAATGAAGCAGAACACTGAATTCTATGGCATTTATTATTCCTAAATCCTTAGCAAAAACCCCTCGGAGATCTTGGGCAGGAGGAACTGGGCAAAGGATCCAAAGATTCACTAGGGGCAAAAGGGGAAATGTGCAAACCCAACTCTGATCTCCCTGAACTCCTCTCTCCAGGAAACTGCAGCTCCAGACTGGGGAAGCAAAGACAGAGATGTGCAATTCCATGTGAAACCAGGCTAAAAATCCCTGTAAAGCAGTCCAGGGCTGTTGCTGCTCTCACCCCCTGTGTTTCAGCGGAGCTGAACTAAGAGCTGAAGGAAGGAAGCTGGAGAAGTCCACGTACCCCTGGATGGCTTTCCAGCTCCTTCCAAGCGTGGACACAAAGGTCTCTTCTCATCCCTCAGTCCAGGCGACGTCATAGGTGCCTCTTCAACTCCCAGCTGGAAGTCTGTGATAAGGAAAAGCAGGAAACGATCCTACAAATAAACAAAGACGTGTTCCAGGTGGATCCACACCCTCCTAAAAATGGAGACTTTCCATTATGGAACGCACTCAGTAATAATCCATATCTGCTTCTCGCAGTGAAGGCAAATTCAATGTATTTTTTAAAGTTCATCAGGGCTTCCAATCAGCCCTTTGCTACAGTGCAGGGAAGCCAAGGACAACCCCAGTTCCCATTCCAGGGCTGCTGTCTGGAAACATCTTACTCTCCACTAACTAAGCTACAACAAGGGAATCCCAACATACTTGATTTGTGCACCCAGTGACAACAGGTGAAACCCCTGCACTTCAGAACCTCTGGGGCCCACCACGAGCTCCCAGCTTTGCAGGCAACTCACATTTTCTCGGTGTCTGAAACAGGGCCAAAAGGGCTGTTTGTTTGCTATTTGCCATCAGACCTCAGAAACAACTATTTTTTAATGTAAAAATTATTTAAAAAACAAGTAAAAGTCTCCCTTTCTTCCTTCCTTACACATATATTTACATTTTCTCAGGGATTTTAAGACATTTGACCTTTTTTTCTGAAATCCCTGCTCCAGGAGTCAAGGGATAAATCAGAAGAATAAGAATGTTTTAGAGCTCAGATCTCTTGACAGGCTGTGCTGTTCTGCCCAGCGAAGAAAAAATAAAGTTTGTTTTCTTTTTTAGCTGTTGAAAAACACTTTAAAACGCATCCAAGACCTCTGAAAGGCAAACACAGAAATTCACCTGCCTTTCTTTTTTGCAGCAGCAGTCTCACAGGACTCAAATCCACCTCCTCTCCAGGAGGATGGAATTTGGGGATTTGAAACTGTGAGGGCTGCGATGGTGCCCATGAACCTTCTGGGTCGTGGTCAGAGCACAGCAGGGTGGAGACTCCTGCCCAGCCAGCCCTGGGGTTGTATCTGCCTCCCTCCCTGCCTCCCTCCCTGCTTCCCTCCCTGCTTCCCTCCCTGCTTCCACGCTCAGGGCTTTCCAGCAGGCATCGATAGCATTTTCAGATGTGGCTTTTACATAAGCAGGACATTTTGTGCAAACCTGGTTAACTCCGTGCCCTCAAAATATCCTGTGCTTTCCAGCATATAAATCCAGCCCCTGACACGGAGAGAATGCTTGGCAGATCCGGCAGGAAGCACAGCCAAGAGAGATGTCAAAGGTATTTGCGAGGTTTCCAGCCGGCCAAGGATGTTAACACCTTGCCTGAACTTAAAAGGATGAGGATTTTTGTGGCATGAAAATGATTTTAAGGTAATTTTTTTTTTATGTGTTCTGCAAAATGTTTGTGTGCTCTGAATGCACTGTCATGGGGAGAACCCTGCAAGAGCTGCAAATACTCACTCCCAGTCCCAGCAGGACGTGGGAGCCTCAGCCAGCTTCTTGGACAGAGTCTCTATCACATGTGCACCGAGATGGAATTATCTGGAAACCAGAGGAGCTGAAAGGGAGAGAGGTGCTCCCAGGTGACAGCCTGCCATGTCTCAGCACGGTTTTGCTGTGTATCTCCTCAGAAAACTGTCACTGTGATAAAAACCAAAAGAGAGTCTGCCTTTCCAGTGCCTTGAACTGTGAGCAGAACGGGAGTGGCAGGGATCCCAGAGGGCTGCTTCTCCCAGGGCACACCCAGACCTGTGTTTGATCCTTCCTCTGACAGCCCTTCAGCCACAGCCCTCCCTTCCTTCTCTGTGCACCCCTTCAGCTATCCCAACCCTAAAGGTTTAGGCAGAAATCCAGCCCAAAGGGTGACTCCCTGAAGCAGGACAGTGGGATTGTCACAGTGCTGGCAGCCCCCACATTTTCACCGGTGTTACTTTGGAGCGGTTCTGCACCGGCCAAGGGGCTCAGCAGAACACCCACCTGGTTTCTGCAGAAACCAGCACACCTTTTCCTCTAAGTCCAGCAGAGATCTCTTACAATCCCAAGCAGCTTTGGCTGGATTTTGCAGGCAAACCCCCCTGCTAGTCCCGGGTGCAGCGAGGGAGCCGCGTTGGCTGCAGGAGCTGGAGGAGGGAGCTGTGCCAGGAGATAGCAGAGGCCATGGAGCTGGCCCCAGCCCCCTGGACTGCTTCCCACTCCTCAGAGCCAACAGGTCTCCACCCAGGACACAGCCGGGGCCTTCCCACCCTTCCCAGAACGCCAGCAGGCTCTGGGTTTCTGCTGAGCCCCAGACAAGATCCCTGTCTCGTCTGTGCCACTGCTCAGAGCCCGCAGGCCAGCACTCCCTCCACAGCTTTTCCAGTGCTTTCCCAAACTGTTTCACTGCTCCAGGCATATTTCAAGGCATCACATTTGGCAGAAAAGTGAGAATTCCTTCTCTTCCCCCAGCCTTTCCTATTCTGCCCCCTGTTCCTGTGTCACCTCATGCTGCAGGAGAACTTCCCTGTCCCCATGGGCAAGCATCTGCCTGCAGAACAGGATCAGCTTCCTCTCAGCAGCCAATTCCCACAGGGAAGGCTGGAAATGGCACCAAACAGGCACAGAGCCAAAAGCACCTTCTAGAATCATCCAGCCCCTGTCAACCTTGGAATTCCAGGGGACCTCTGGGTCCCCTCGGATGATCCCTGCTCCAGCTTTCCCGGTGCTGCCCACGCTGCCAGGCCAGGTCAGTGTCACAGACAGGAGCCAACACACCTGACTGAGCTGCCACCAGGGCAGGGCCGGCTTTTCTGCTCCTTTCTGCAGCTCCACACGCACGTGGGGACCTGACTCGACAAGGAACAGCACTGGAGAGGTGCTCAAGCACAGCAGAGGTAGAAGTGCCAGAACTGAAGGAACAGAGACTCCCTAACTAGGAATAATTGCCTGAATTCCTCTCTTACATGGGCCACATCCCTCATTTCCTTCACCAGCAATAAATTCTGGGTAAACTGGATTACATCTTGGTTTAGGTTGGTCTCCCTCAGAGACCTGGGGGTTCCAAGGGGAGAAGAATTCATTACTCACTCATTCTGCAGCCTCTTACACTGCTGCAGTGATTCCTTACCCTCCCCACTGAACACACAAAACCCCTCAGAACAAATGAAAAATACCAAACTGCTCCTCTGAGTGATGTAGGTTTTCAGCCCTCTCCCCCCTCAGGGGTTGTGCAATCTCAGTGCAGCCCTCCCTGTGTTATGAACTATTACACACTACTTTTCCCAGCGGGCCCCAGCCTTCTGTCTGCCTCCAGGAAAAATGATCCCTAAAAGCAACAAGAAGATACTGTGTTTTCTCCCCATCTTTCCTTTCTGCTCCTAACTCTGCATTTCTCACCTCTGTGCTGGTGTTTGGGTTGGTTTGTGTTCCCTGGTGCTCACAACTAACCCCCAGTGCTTCCTGACCCTCACCATCCATCCTCAGCCCTTGGCTTCCAATCTCTCCCTGTTTGTCTGGTCCATGAAACCTGCCTCAGTCGTGCTGATCTACTAAATTCCACTCCACCAGACCTCACCCTGCACTGACACAGCCCCAAAACTCCTTTCCTCCTTCCTTCCATCCCAGCTAAGCTCACTCTGCCCTCTCTTTCTCCCTCCCACACCGGGGAGCAGTGGGAGGGCAGGAAACGGTGCTTCCCTGCACTTTATACCTCCCAGATTTTGTCCCTGGAGCAGGGACAGGAGGAAGGATTTCCGTGCCAGAACATGCTCCGTGCCCACAGATGAACTCTAACAAGCCTCTCCCGGGTAGGTGGTGGCGTTACTGAGGTTTGACAGTGCCTAAATTTGGGATACTTTCACAGAATGACAAGTCACACATCTGTGGTAACTGCCTTCCTAAACGGCAAGTCAGTAAAGTTTAACCAATTTATAAAAAAATCATATAATATGGGACACACTCGGTCGTGAGGAAGAGCTGAAGTGCTTTTGTTCAAAGTTAAGCCAGGTTCAACCTGAGTCTGACATCGAGGGCAGGATGAAGAGTTCAAATCTGACACTCAGAGGCTGCTGGAAAAGGGGAGTTGAGAGTCTCAGACACTGTTTCTGTCTCAGCTCTTGGCACAGCTACCTGAACTTTCCAGAATATGTGTTCCCAGCAACTGAACCTTTTGGGAGATGTTGGTGCCTCGAGACAATCTCTGCACGTGGCTTTTCCTCAGAGTGGTTTTGAGATGCTCTACTGGTTAGCTTTTGGTGAAAACCCAAACCTGTTCCCACCCTTCTGATCTCTGCTCTGCTGCAGCCATTCCCACGCAGCCATCACCTCCAGAACACCACAGGCAATTGATCCCATCACATGCTCCCCTCTCCTGCAGCTCTGTTCAGGAAATGCTTGGCCACATCCAGCTCTTCTGGGTATCTTTACCCTGCTCAAAGCCAGGCCCTGTGGCTCTCATCCCACACTGCTCCTTTGCCCACCTCCAGTGGTGCTAGAAAGGACTTTCCTTAACCAAAACCAGTTGTCCTGCCCTCCCTTTTCTGGAGGGAACCAATGTACATGGCTTGCTATGCCTGAAAGTCCATCTCTGACATTTGCTAGCATGGAACATTTATTTACCATCTCCTGAGATGCACAGCTCAGATGTGCAAACAAGGAACGCTTCTGAGCAAACTAATCACCCTGCAATTAATGCCCAAGCATTGTCTAATGGAGGAGGCTGAGTTATTCTAACAGCCACAAGAGAAAGAAATGAGTGTGAATGATATTTAACCCATCTGCAGCCTGCTGAGCAAAAAAAACCCCTATGGCTGTGTAAGAAACAGCAGAGTCGGTGAAAAATGGCCTAGGAATTGAAAGCAGGCCTTGGGATCCTAAATAAAAGGTGGAACAGAGGGGGCTCACCCAATGTGAATGTTCTCTGTGGATATGGGTCTATCTGTGAGTGCCCAGAACCCAACACTCTGGGATCCTCCACCTTCCACTTCAGCTCAGGCCCCATAAATCACACAGTCAGTCACGCACCAGACACTGAGGAAACGGGGGAGAGATCTCCACAACCGGTGTTCTCCGTCCTTTTCCTGACTGTTTGGAGCCTCCCAAATCCCTCCTCGTCCCTCCAAAGTAATTGCAGTAAGATGTCCTGTCATCACATGGAAATGTGCCTGTTCAGTGTCTGCGGGGTTTGTGCTCCGAGTTCCAGAGGAGGCTCTGCAGCATTCGCAGGGATGAAGTGACCCCTCCCTCATCCCAACCAGCAGCACTGGTCCACGGGCTGTGAGGGTTATGGATGTTGGGGTGGATATCCAGCTCCTCTGAGACCAGCAAAGGCCTAGCCAAGTGCTGAAAATTAATTTGCTCCAAGTTAGCAGCAAGCCCTAGTAATCAATTAATCATCTCAGTTCCATAAAGTTTAGCCAACCTTAACATTCCCACTCCCTGCATGGCAATCTGTTCTCTCTGCTCACTGCTATTCTACATATCATATATATTCTGATATTGTTCAGAGATTCAGCACAGACCTGACTCATACAACGGCCAGGCCAGATCCTTCAGGGTGGCACCAGAGGCTGGACCACCAGGACGCTGCACACACACGTTTTCCTACACTCCAAGGGATAAGGGGTGCATGGAAATAGGGAACAGGGCAAGGCAGCAAGGCTGGCAGTGCTCACACCTCTGAGGAGAAGGGTCCCACGGAAATTCAAAGTGAAGAGATTCTTTAACTGCCAGGGAAAGAGCTCAGTACACAGTCACAGGCCTTCAGGTCCCCCTTGTTCCCAGTGCCCAGATACCATCACCATTCCATAAAGGAGCTGGGAACTGGAAGAGCAGCAGCGCAGCCATTGACATGTAAATGAGATACAATCACCTCGCTGGGATCCAGGAGTATTACTTACCCCTGGTGACTCCTGAACTAGTGCAGGGCTTAACAGAGCAGGACATAAGCACTCAATTATTATGGACACGTGTTTACCCTGCAGATGTACCGGGATGGCAACCTGTGCCGTAGGAAGGATGTGGGATAATTTACGATAACAGAGTCAAGTACGTGCTGTTCCTCTGAACTCTGCCCAGTGGCCGCAGATCCTTCTCTGCTGGAAGCTCAAGGACTGTTCTGAGGGATGCTCAAGAGCCTTGAGCTCTGCTGGCATTGTGGGCAACCTCAGGAACGGGAGCAAGAGCCTCCTTGCACTGGAAAACACTCCCTGGGCAAGCAGAGATGCTCTCCCTGGTGCCCCCCAAAATAACTCCTGCTAAACTGGCCCAGCCCCTGCACGAGGCCCAGCAGTCTCAGCTCCCACTGAAGCCCACGTGAGTCACTCCCACCTGTCCCAGGTGTGGGTTTGTCCATGCTCCAACGCTCCCAGGAATCCACTGCCCTTCCCTGCACTTGGACTTGTTTCAGTGCCACTGAGAGTTCCCAATTCCCCACTGCCTGTACCTGCCCGTGCACCCAGGGGGTTCACTCCCTGTGGTTCTCCAGCCTGGCTCAGACACATCCTGGGGACACAACTGCCCCCCAGCATCACCTACTGCTGATGGAAAGACTCCCCCTGACTCTGAGAGCCATTTTCTCCAAGGTCTGGGACAGCTCCCACCCCATTTCACTGCTGTCAGTCTGTTCCACAGTTCCTAATGTTCAGCTCCAACCACAAGTGCACTCTGCCCAAACACATTCAAACCCCAGCCACATTCATCTTGGCTTTGGTTGATAAAGCTTCACATCATTCTAATCCATGGGAGGCTGCTCAGGAGATGGATCCATCCCATGTAGGCTTTTCTTTTCCCTTACCCAGGTGCCCTTTGATCTTGTGAATCTCTGTATTTAATTACGGGAGTTGAAGGAGGTTCATATCCCATCTCCTGGCACACTTTGCTCAGGCCTGTCCTTTTGCTGTTTGGGGAAGGAGAGTGCAGTTCTTGGAAGCACAGCTCTTTAATTTTAATACATTACAAGTGCTAGAGTAAGCTCACCTTCAGCTGCTCCTCATTGTCGATGCATGAATAAACAACTGGCAGGGGAAGCAGAACATTCCAAAAAGGTGCTTCTGGATGAACAGAGTCAGCAGCCATAAAGAGCCCCAGTGATTTCCTGGGGCACAAAGGCCTTGCTGGTATTGGTCTGCCACTTGCAATCAGCATAAATGCAGTACTTCCCAGTTCTCCTCGGCTGCTGAAAAACAATAATAAAAATAATACCAAACAGAATTAGGAGAAACAAACGAACCAAACCAAAAAAAGGCTACACTGCACCCCAAATTAGCAGCACAGAGCACGGAGGGGAATGGTGGCTTTGCAGTGAGCAGGACAGACAAAGAAGTGGAATACAAGAACAAAGGAAGGTGGGAAAAGCTCCGCTTACTGAATTTCTGGCTCTGCCTGCCCTGTCATATCTGTAGCCCAGAGCACTGTGGGATGCACTGACAGCAAGGTGACCACAGCAGACTGTCACCACACAGGCAGGTCAGGACTGGGATCCCTGACCTCAGTGGAATGCAATCACCCCTCGGGACCCCAGGCCAGGCTCTCACAAGCTTTGCCCCACCAGAACATCAGGGATTGGGGATTTGGCCAGAGAGGCTGGATCCTGAGCAGAGAGCTCCTCCTTTCACCCCAGCAGCTGCCCTGTGGAGCTCACTCAGGGCAGGATCCTCCGATCCAGGCACCCCCAGCCGGGCTGGAGCAAACCAGGCACACTCATCAGCGCAGCAGTGAGTGCTCTGCTCCTCTGCTAATTAGCTGAGCTAGTACCCCTTTCAGATGACTTATTTTTAGTCCTTGCCTGCAGGGAACTGAGCCTTTAAGAGGCTCTGGAATGGGTCAGCTGGAACAGGCTGTTACATTATGTATGTCCCAGCTCCTGCTCGGCAATACCCACGGGCTGGGACTCCGGCAGCAGCAGGACCACCTCCACCTGTGCCTGGGTTTTCCAGCCACCACAAAACAACACAGTCCTCACATCACCCTAACTCACCACAGCGATTCACAGCGTCCCCTGATGCACAGACCCCAAATCTGTACCTAAAATCTGGGTTCCACATCCGCTCTGCCTGGTGTGGCTCATTAAAAATGGATTGTCCTGTCAGGCTCTGACACATAAGTAGGGAAATGTATTGCTCAATACACACGGAGTGCTGGAATAAAATACCCATCACCTGCATGTCCCTGCTTCAGCAGAGTACTGGGGAACGGGGTGGTGATTAGAACAGCGGGACTGTGCTGTCCCTGTTGTTGGGTTGTGCTTTAAAGCCCTCAGGAAGGTGGAGGAAGTGAGGTCAGTGAAGTGGCTGATCATCCTGTGGCACACAGAGTCCCACAGCACGGGAACAGACCTTTGTCCACAGAACAATCCAGCTTGGACTGTTCCTCCTTGGAAGGTCACTCCGGACAGGAGAGCAGGAGCACTGGAAAGCAGCCAACCTCAGAGTTCCCACTGCAGGCATGGAGCAGTCCCAGGTGCTCGGGAGAGTTCTGCTGTGGAGCAATGAACTCCCAGACTTGTCTTTCCAGAGGCAGCACGCAGGACTGCGAGGCCCCAGCAGAGCCCTGTGCCACAGCCCTGCAGGCTTCTCCCTCCAGGAATTCTCCACGTCCAAGCACTGTTTGGATAGGCCAGCTGCTTCACTGTTATTAATAATGCCTCATTAGCCAAACCTGACCCTTACACGACTCCTTTCCGAAGCAAGGGGCTGCTGTTCCCTTTGGGGATGCATTGTCTCACACAGCGAATGCAATGCATTGGTTTGTCGGTGCCTGCTGCTTCTATCCCCGCTGTTTGCTGCAGGTGAAGTGTGGGAGGGGGAAAATCACCCCCAAACGTGCTGGCAAACCATCCCCACCCTCATCACGGCCCGTACCAACAGTGACGAGCCAGGCAGGGCTGAGGTGAACTGGCAGTGCCAGTGACAGGGACTGCAGCACGTGATGCTGTGCTGAGGATCCCCACTGCTCCAGAGGAGACAGACTGCCTATAGACGTGTTCCTTGACGCCTGGGAACAGCACACCAACCAGCACCACTCAAACAACAACAAAAATGACGGTGCCTCATGGGCTGTAACAGGATTAAACTGCTTCTCAAGCTCAATTAGCTGACTCACGATTTTGACTTGATTTTAAGTTGCTACCAAGAAAGCAGCAAAGCCCCTCGTGGGATATATGGCAAACACCTCCTCCAAGGATGGATTCTCCAGCACGGAAAGTTGCAGGCACGTGCCTGAGCTGAACACAAACCTTCACCAGAAGATCTGTTTTGTACCGATGATTTGGGCTCAGAAAAGACAATTTACCACATATGGCTCTTACACTAACCCTGCTGCCCGAGGCTCCTCTTCAGAGTAACTCAGCAGACAACAGGTCTGTGTGAACAAACCCAGGGATCTGCATTAGACCTTCATTAAACCCTTTGTCCACACCCAACTGTCCGCTCTCTCAGAACTCTTTATGAAATCCCTTGAGCTGCGGTTGCCAAACTCCAGCCTGCCCACGTCATCCCTGCGCTGCAGACTCGGGACCAATTAGTGCCACGAGCTCCTGTCACCAAGGAGATCAGCAGGCACTGTCTCACAGAGCGCTCCAACGCTCTCAGACTCTTCCTGAGATCTGGGGTTTGGCTCTGCTTCACATTTACCACACCAGCAGATCTGCAGCACGGCTAAATAAAGCTTGGCATGGCTGCCCCTAACGTTGCCACAGTTATCATGGTGCCTTGGCTCCTCCAGTTTGGGATTCCTGCAAAGCAGGAAAGCACCATCCCTGCAGAGGGAGGGCTGATGCTCACAAAAATTGCCTGGCTCCCTGCCACCCTGTGGGTGGGGGGCTCAGAGCCAGGGATCAAACACAGCTCCCAAGGCCCAGCTGAATGCCCAGAGCCCATCATTCTGTTCTAGCAAATTCTCTCCTCTATTTCTGATATGGAGAACCAAAGCTTCCAGAACAATTTGCTTCCAATGGCCTGAGAAATCCCCTCTGCCTGGAGACACAGGCCATGGTGATGCTGTCAGGATACCTTGCCTTTGCACTGTTTATATGTGAGGTTAATATAAATCACGGATATCAATCCACAGTGTATTGACCCATTTCAGTGATAGGAGCAGCAATTGCTCGATGAAAACGGTTTACAGCTCAGCAAAGCACCCCAACTATGCAAAAGGCACTGTAAAAGCATTCACTATTAATTATTTAAACAGGGTTATTTTTCTGTGATTTTGCATGGCTGGAATTATTTTGATTCTTTTAAAAATTGATTTGGATGCTCAGCAGCAGGATGAACACTGCTCACTGCCCACGTCCTACCTTGCCATTTTATGAAGGTTTTAATTGACATTTGCAGTAAATAAGGAGTTTGGGGTTTTCTCTGGATCGTTCTCTGCACAGGAATAAGCTCAGAGCAGCTGAGCCCAGTGTAAAAGTTGCACTTTCAGAGACACTGCACTGTCCAGGGGTGTTCCCTGGCAGTCTGCTCCAGGGAGGAAGGAGCAGAGAAGGAGGCTGAGGAGATCAGTGCCAGACCTGTGTGCGATGCTCACCTTCCCCACACACCTTCCCAGCTGCTTCTTGGCTTCTACACGTTCTTCTGAGTCACTAAAAACCAAACAAACTGAGATTAGTAATTTGTAATGATCCCATTGCTCTCACATCTCCTCTCAAGTACTGGCAAATAGGTTTCACACTTTTTGAGGACAAGTCAAGGGGGCTTGGAGGCGGAGGGAAGGCCACAGGCACAGCTGCCCTGAGCTGTGCTATGAGGGGGTTGTAGGCCATCCATAGAGCTCTCAGAAAATCTCTATCTTTAGTTGCTGTTAAGTTTCAATATAAGCTTGGTCAGAAGAGCCATCAGGACACCAGCACTCGCTCAGCACTGATTTCCTAGAGCAAACCTGAACACTTGAGCCATTGGGTTTGGTGTTTACTCACTTCACACCAGATACTCCCCACTTTCACCCCTGGCTCAAACCACAGCGTTTCACAGACACTCTGTGGTTGCACAAACCACTTCCCCTCCCCTGTGCAGTGACAGCAGTTGCATTCACGGAGCAGTTCTAGTAGGAACCTGTGTGGGTCACAGCCTAATCCCTGCTGATCCGTGCCAAAGAGACGCGGCGGCGGGGCGGGCGCCTTTTCCAAAGGCTGCAGTTTTGTGCTGCTCCCACTACCTACTGCCCAGGGGAAGCTGTGTTCAGCTGGGGCTCCACTCCTTTTGTTAGGCTGGAACCACTGACTCTGCAGTTCCATTAACCTGCCCCGGGTGAGGGCCACGGCCCTGAGACAATTGGAGCACAAAGTGCCGTCACAGGGCTGGACCCAACTGCTGCTGGCAGCACTTTCATTCACTTCAGCCCCACCCTCCAGCTGGGGACTGACTGGGAAAGACTTCATGGAACCTCACAAGTTCTTTGGATTTTAAAGCGTGTTGTCAGCTGAGCTGACACGAGGTTCAGGCTGGGCAGTGACAGGCTCAGGGACTGCAATTATAACTCGATTATTTGTGAGGGGTTTCAAAAATCCCCCAGCCCACCCAGAGAGATTAAACCTCACAAGTCCTGTTCCATCAGTGCTGTAGGGACAAGGACCTGGCTAATCACTGGCTGTCCTCATTCCACAGCACAAATGCAAGTCTTGGATCATGAACCACCCTCAGCTTGTCCAGACTGGGGTTTTTCCTGGACACTGTGGCATCTTCTCACACAGCTCTGCTGTCCAGGTGTGCACAGGAGGTGGAAACTCACGTTCCAAAGGGACAGACCAGCCACCCAGACACACTGAACAGCTCAGTTCCTGAAGCAATTCCATGGCTGAGCTCTGAACAACACACACACACACATCCAACTGATCCTTACCCACCACCATCTCTCTAAGGACAGAAAAAAAAAAAAAAAATCAATAAATCTATGCTCCCTGAAGCTCCTTGTGTGTTTCTATTCACAAAACACGGACACCTCATCGAGCAGCAAGAGGCAGGATGGTCTGCCCGATTTGCACCTCCTGGCTGTGCCTGTGTGGGTGGCTGTGGGTTGGGCTGGTGACCTGGCAGAATGTAACAAGTGCTTTTATCCTCCTGTTCTCGCCTTGCAGGATTGTGCAGCTCGCGGACCAGTGAGCCAGACACATTGGACAGCACGGCTCCCGAGGAAATTCCCCGTGACTGGGCTCCCAACAATGCCTCCAAATGTCACAAAAAGTCAGCAAACACTCCCGAGACTCAAGTGCCCATTCTGGGTAGCAGTACTGGGAAACCCCGGGTTTGGTATCCACTATCAAAAGCCCTAAAATGTCAGCACATTTCAAAGACATTATCATGTGTTTTGCAGTCTCAGGCTCACAAAACCTCTGACTAAAAAAAAAAAAAAAAAAAAGAGAAAGAGATAAAATAAGACCCATCTCTCCCATATTGCACTTATCTCCTAATAATAGCCCACACTCGTGTCAGGATCTGACAAAGAAGGTTTAGGAGCCTCCTGCTAAAGCTCTCTTACAGAATTCCCCCCTTGCAGCTCCCTTTGGAACAGAAATTTGCTGCCTGGGAACAACCCGCCAAGACCATTTCCAAGGCCAAGCTCAAGCAGCTCCCTGGGGATGCCCAAGGACCAAGCACCTCAGTTTGTGACCAGCTCTGCTGGGGAGGAAACCTCTGCTCCGCAGGGAGCACTTGGCATGAGGGAGGCGCAGATGATGACCGTAGGTCCCGGGCCCTGCAGGAGAAGGACCGAGGAATGAGCCCTAAAACTGAGCTTTGCAAAACTCGGCAGTAAATCAGCACAGTGCTGGGATCTGTGTGTTATATAAATATCTGATTAAATATAACACCGAGCTGCTGCCACTTCTCGTGGAAAAAAGAAATCCATCCAGAGGAAGTGTGCAAGAAAAAAATGAATTATCACAGCATGTCGTCCAGGGGGTGTTTTCTTTTTTGAGTTAAAAAAAGAAGAATACAGGAGAAAATCTGTTGGGAATGCTAGTGAAAAGCACAAGGAAAAATACTGGAGAAATATCGATAAAACTTGTCCTCCAGCCTCTTGAACAACTGCTTTCTTGGCCTAGAGGGAAGGCCCACAGTAAATTCACTGTTATCTTGTTTAGTGTACTTCAACAAGAAAAAAAAAAGCAGACTTAAACCCTAGGCAAGAGCATTCTCTTCTCCCTCAAACAGGCTGCTCTGAGGGTTTGTCTTCATTAGCTGTGGAGAGCAGTGACATATTATTTTTGCATTCCTGGGGACTGCAGCAAATTGTCCCTCTTGGCTGTCATTGTTTCCTACGGAAGCAACAATGGCTCCCATTTATCAGCAGCTGACACCCCACGGCACACACGGAATTACGTTTCACTCGGCAGCACACGAGGGGACGGGGGAAATAAACCCCGTGTATGGACAACACCCAGCAACCAGCAAAGCCAGGAAAGGAAGAGCGGAACCGCCTGGAAACACGAAGCACCTTCTCGTGAATCACAGCGGCTTCTGCTCCCAGGCAGCAGCTCTGCCAGCGTTCGTAGATTTGGAAGTCACGGTACAGGATTGCAGAGGAAGAATCAAGGGAGGCGGTGAAATTCCACCATCAGAAAAGGTTCTGATAGACCTCGAGTTTTGTGGAGACATCAAAGGATGGTGCAGCTGTTGGGGTGTCAGAGGGGGTCTGTGGTCCTCCAGCTCCTCACTGGTGTCAGCCTGTGGTTGGTGTTATTGATATTAAAATCAGAGAAAGGACCGGCCCCAGAGCCACTCCAGGCTCTTTGTGCGTCCCTCGCTGTCGGTGGGATCCGTGTGCCCCTGGTTTTATGTGCAGTGGCTAACCCCCCTCTCCCTGTATCCATCAAAAGTGTTTCCCTGCAGGACACGAGGGCTCCTCCCCAGCAGGGCAGCCAACCATCTGAGAAATGCCTGAACTTTTGTGTCCTCCCACAGGAATTCTGGGCTATGCCTTGGCTACTCCTCTGACGTCTGGTTTTGATAAGGGATTTGCAGAGCCTACTGTCTCCTAGGAATTGTGCAGGAAGAGGCTGGGTGAGGTCACTCTCTTCGCTCTGAGTGCCTGGCCGTGGTGAACAGGACCCCGCAGTGCTCCCGCAGGCTCTGTGAGCCCTGGCTGGTCTGGTGTGTGCACACACGAGACCCCGGCGCTGCCAGGGGAAACACGGCCGACACTAAGCAGGGGAACACAAGCAGCTCGGAGATGCAGCTGCGGGCTGAGTTCATTTCTGAGCTCAAGTGCTGGCACAGCTCCCCCCTCGCTCCTCAGCCTGGCTCCGAGCGGCCACAGGCCACGGAATAATGGCTGGATTGTCAGCGCGCCGGATCCACGGAGCGGGGCACGGCACCGACGCTCGCAGAGGAGCAACAAGTAAAAGCAAATGCATCTTATTTTGCCTGGTTCACAAGCAGCCTGCTCGGAGTGTGTGACTCCCCCTCCCCAGACTATTCATATCAGATTTCATCTCTGGCTCCCAGGTTGCCATGGAGACGATGCTGAGCCGCTGCCTTTGTAGGCCAGATTTGTGAGTGCATCCCAACGCTCCTGCTCGGCACAGCCACGCAGGAGCCTGCTTAGCATGATCTGTTCAAACGGACAGGCATGGCAACCAGCACACCCTGCACTGCTCAGAAACGTTTTTCACAATCAAACCCTGCATTCTGGGGCTCCTTGAAGCCCACCAGAGTCTGTTTATGTCCATTTTAGCCTATTTATGCTAAGTCACTGATCTGTGTGAGATGTACAACCACATGTACAAGCTCCTAAGAGCCAGGGCCTGGCAAGAGTTAATGCTGAGAGCTAAGCATTCCCCTTGTTCTTATCTTAGTCATTCCAGCTTTTTCACAGGCAGAGACAGTTGGGTTGGGTGAAGTCACAGCATAAACACCCTCTTTGGATACCCAAATCATGTGATTTACGATTAGGTTATTGTTTATCACACCCACAGGAAGCCTGGGTGCTACAACGCTCACGAGCACAGAGGGAGCACGTCCCAGCAGTACAAAAGAGCAGGTCCTGCAGGTGAACCCTCAGCAAACCCACAGCATCCAACAGCAAACCTTCCCGGTGCACAGACAGCAGGAGCTGCAGGATCAACCTGCTCCTGCCCCTCCTGGATGCCATCAATCACACCGGATGCACACTGTCTCACCTTTCCTGGGAGGGGCCATTAGCAGAGTCCCTGGTGCCGGACCAGTGGCTAAAGGAGGTTCCTGGAACATCTCCGGGAGACCTGCGGATGCGCCGGGAGTCACGAGTGGATCTGGAAAACACAACACGAGCACATTGCCAGGGAGCACTTGTAGGTGGCCAAGGAATCCAGAGCACAGCCTGCACCAACAGCAGGGGCAGCTGCTGCTCCTGCACTGCTCCAGGGCTGTGAGACCACCCCGTTCCCACAAGGGGAACTGGCACCAGGAGTTGGATACCTGGCTTGGCCCACCCATGTCGGAGGTTTTGTTGAGGGGCAGCACTGCCGAGGTGGCCTCGGAGCAGTGCTTTGGGCTCAGCATGAACCCAGGCTGGCAGGTTTCAGCAGAAAAGGCCTGTCGGATCGCTTGGCAGGTCTGAATACTCCTTACAGTATCTTTGTTCTTGTTTTCCCATAGATCTTTCACCTCTTCACATCACCCATCCCCCTGCAGGACAATTGAGAAACTCCACGCTCAGTGGTTCAGGACCAGTTGCCACTACACCTTTTCCAGCAGCCTTCCAGGCAATTTTCCATCCATTAGCACAGCAGGATTGCCCTCTAAACGAGCACACATCCTTTTCCCTGTTAATATTTAATGAAACCCAGACTGACCCATTACACTGAACCAATGACACATCCAGGCACAAGGGGGAACAAAACAAAATGTGAAGCACCATTTAAATTCCCGTTCTCAAATGCTCCAAAGTGACCAGGAACTCTGCATTTGCAGCTTGGGGCATGGCACGAGAGCAGTGCCAGTGGTGGAGCAGCGCTCCCAGCTGTGGGGAAAGCAGGGCTGGTTGCCGTGTTTCAAGTGGGTCAGGCTGTCTCCCTGATCCCAGGGAAATGTAGGCCACTGCACTTCCATCTGCACAGCGGCAACACAGCGGAGTTGTCAGAGCCACCAGGACACAAACCCCTCAGATAAACCTGGAATGGGGAAGCAGACCTGGAACAGGGTAAACTGGTAGCTGGCATCCCTGGGATACAACCAGCAGCACATGAATAGATGCTGATTTATTGCTGCATCATTGCCGGACCAAGACCTGCACCTGCCAAAGGATCCCGTCCTGATGAAAAATATACGCTATCCCATTAACATGCTGAGAGGTATCTATTATTAACTAAGTAATTAGATAATTATTAACCTCAAAAGAGCACATTTTCTCCAAAAGAGAGATCCTACTTGGCCTATATGAAGCTCTGCTGCGGCAGCCAGGCTGCTCCCAGGAACTGAGGCGGCTAATTTAGGGACAGTTATTTTGGGAACACGCACCAGCACACGGAAATAGTGGTCCAGGGGCCCCAAACAGCAGCAAAGGCCAGTTCAGGTGCAGGAGTCCGAGGGTGATAACCTTTGTTATCACAGAAATAAAGCCCTTCCTGCAGATCCCATGTCCTCAGCCACTGCTCTAACAGACAGCCAGGAATCCCAGCGTCCCTCAAGGTCACCGTGGCTCCGGGCAGGGCAGGCAGGGAGGGAAGGAGCCCCCACACCACCACGAAGGGAAATGGATCTCCCACTCTTCAAACACTGGTTGGCTCAATGAGGTCGTAATTAACACGAGCAGCTCGTTAGATGAGCCTATTGACACATACAGCAGGGCCGTCGATGTGCTCAAGTAGTTAATTAGCAGCACCGTGGCTCTGAGGAGAGGGCAGACCTACATTCCAGCCCTGGAATGCAGGAGTTTCGTAGGAGAGGGCAGCAGTTTTAGGTCAATCGTTCCTGGGCAGTGATGTGCTCCAGCTCAGCCCTCCCTCTGCCCAGCTGCAGCAGGGGGATGGCAATCCTGGCACTTTGGGGATGCAGGCAGAGCTTGGGAAGTTCCTACAAAAGAGCACTCAGGTGGATCTGCACCTGTCCACGGAGCCCTAAGAGCCCGAGGGATGCCTGGAGCTCCAAATGTCTGAGGCACGCTTAGAACGTACAGTTTTCATGCTGGAATACAGAGGTGGAAAACACTGATATGTTTTCATACCAACCATGGCAGTGAACAACGTTATCAGTTCCAGGCTCTGCTTCTGCTGCATGGAAATGCCATTCTTCAGAGACAAGGCAGAATCCAAACTGCCCCAAACCACATGTGAATAATGCCATGGTTGAAATTCTCAGTGTGCATGGGGCTCACTTAGAAGTACTGAGGATTCTTTCCCCACTATCCAAACACCTGCTCAGATGATCAAAACTGTTTTCCCAATAAATTACTCCTGAAGTAAGTTTTGGTGGCTGTTGAATACATTATCTATCCTCAGACATTTCAGCACGTTAGTTTTGCAAATTAATCATCTATTAAAAAGGCACTGGTTCATTTCCCTGAATGGAATTTTATCTATTCACAATATATTATGTAAACATTCCAGTTAAGAGCCTTAATAAGGCAACAGTCCCAATATATTTACAGAAGGCCACATGCACACAACTGAAAAGAGAAAAAAATTTGTCTCTCTGCTTTCCTTTCACAACACTGCAAGCCACCTTGGGAAGAAGAGGTGTGCATCCTTGGCCTTCAGCACCCCAACATCTCACTCCAAATGGGCACGAGAGGACCATCAGGGTGGTCGATACACAGCCCCCAGACCCTCCAGCCACCCCCATTTCTGGAGTTAAAATGCTGGTTGAGCCCACTGCCCCCAGTGCAGTGTGTGTGCTGCAGAGTGCTGCGCTGTGTCCATCACAGACGGGTTTGGTAGGTGCAGGGCATCTCTAAAGGCTGGTCCGAGAGCCTGAATTCCGGCTGAGCAACAAAAACTAGACTGAGTTAACAAAACTAGATGTAGCTGCTAAAATACCTCCAAGGAACTGGGCTCAAAGAGGAGGAATCCTTCTAAGCCTCAGCAGGCACAGCCCGTGCAGCCAAGTGAGCTCACAGCCCAGCAGCAGCTATTGTTCCATTGGATTCCTCCGGGGGGACAGGGGCAGGCAGGAATTTTTATGCACATAGGCATAGAGAAAAGGGCTTTTTTTTTTTCATCTATGGAAAGTCAAAACACGCTGGAGCCATAAATTACACCCTGGATAAGTGTTCAGAGTTCATACCCTTTTAAGGAATACAGCCTAAAGTGAGCACCCCCTCCCAAGGTATAATCTTCCATCACTGGGAGATGCTGCTGCCTGATCACAGCCAGACAACTGGCTCCACACCAAGCCCCCAAACGTGCCAACATATGGAAGCAATTGCTTCCCTTCGGATTGGAAGTGACACATTCTGGGTGTGTGCACAACATCCCCCATCAATCACCCCAAACGGGCCGTTGTTTGGACTCCAACTTGTGATCCCGTGGAAGATCCCTGGAGCCCGGTGGGAAGGGCAGGGAAGGTCTTTACACACTGCAGGAGCCTGAGCTGCTCTGGGCAAGGTTGTGTTTCACACAATTGAAGTTAAACCTCCTCTTGCCTTTTTCCCCCCCCCCTCCCTTCCCTTTAAACAGAGCCACACTTTGCATTCAGAAGAACCTCTGTGGCAGAAATATGTTGTGAAAAAAGTATGTGGAGATAGAAAGATCAGGGAGGCAAATTGCTGCTGAGGATGCAAGGAAAGGTTGGTTCAGGCTGTTTCCTGGGCTCAAACAGCAAAGGGTGGTAAAGGGAAGCAAAGGCGAGTGACTTCCTGAAGCAGACAAGTAAAAAGCCAGCAGGATCCCTGTTTTATATCAGTGAATACCAGTGATGGTGGGACTTCTGGAGTTACTCCTTCTGCACCCCAAACAGGCCCACAAACAAACTGCAGCTCAGTGGAGGTGAACAGATATTGCCCCATTGCTTTAAATAAAGCCAGGGGAATGTTGGAATGCTACCAGAGATGGAACTGGTTATTTCATGCCAATGTAACTTCTGGAATTAGCTTTCCTAGGGGTTATAGGAAAAGAGATTTCCACATGAAGGACAAGAGGCAGCAGCACATCCACCTGTGACACACAGCAGGAGGAACCATCAGCTGGGCTTTTGGGCTGCTGTGGCAATGAAGGTCCTACATGGGCAATCCAGATAAACAGACTATAAACCCTCACCTCTGCTCCTGCAGGAACTCCAAGCTCTCTCCAAGTCTCTGTAAGATCCATGCAGGATTTACAAACACATCTCTGCAGGCTGGATGCTCATCAGCACCTGTTGGTGTCCTTTGGGTCCCACGTGAGGGAAGACTGCAGATGTCATCTGTTCACCTCACTGCCAAATTCCACCTTCAGGCACAGAACATTGCCAGGGCAGTGACAGAGAGCACTGAGCTCAGATCCAAGGATGGGACTGAGCCCCAAGCAGAGCAGGAAAAAGGATTGCTGCATGACAAAAATAGGCAAAGAGCCCTCTCACATGTGTCCAGTGCCTCAGACGGCAGAGCAGGGCTTTGGGGGACTGATGAATAGATCCTACTCCCACTGCATGACTGGATTCCTCAGCACAGGTAGGCCAGAGGCCTCTCTCTCCCTGGCAGTGAAAATGGGGCTCAGCATCAGTGGGTAGCAGGGACCCAACCACTGCACTGTCTCCCAACTCCTCATCATCCCTTGCTGCCCTTTGTCGGTGAGCTCTTCCAGGCTGGATTCTACAGCTCACCCTGTGAGCTCCTCACCCACACTTACTGCTCAAATCTAAGGAGGAAACAAATCCCAGCCATTCACAGCACAAGTTGCCAAATCAGGCGCTTTGGTGTTGCAGGTGGGATGTGAGGATCTGCCCGGGTTTGGATGTTTTCAAACAAACACACAACCAGAACCAGGTCAGACCCTCACCTGACACAGTTCCCCAAGTCCAGAGCCCCTGCTGCAGACCAGGAGATGGGCAGTAGCTCTGAGCCCCTGCTAACGAGCAGCTAATTCGCGTTCCTGTAGAGTCTTCCTGAATTCATCATTTGTAAACAGAAAGGGCCCCATTAACAACTCACACTCGAGGAACCCTTTCCGTTGTGGGTTTTGTGTGACTCATCACGGTTTACGCTCCCAAAACAGCTGACAAGAAGCCAGCTCTCTTTCCCTGCAGGGACAGCTGAGTGCCCAGATGAAAGGACTGGGGGCTCCAAGTCATTTTGGTTTGAAAAGCCAAAAGTGGGCAATCCCATCTCGCAGCAGACACTGCCCTGCTGCAGGAGGAGCAGTTGTTGATGTGCCCCCGGCTGGCAGACAGGCAGTTGCTGGGTGTGCACCATACAGAGAATATTTGCCGGTTTTGGCAGGGCAGAGCATTGCTGAAATACCAAAGCCCATGGCTAATTAAGTGGGGCGATGGAACAGAATGATTCGATGATAAGATTGAATCGGTATGAGCGCTCTCACAGAGCGGTTATTGTATCTGTCTGGGAGCAGCAGACGCTCAGCTGGGCAGGCCTTGCTCAATTGGGGCTGGGGGCAAAGGGCAGGGGGCTGCCCTGGGCTCACCCCCGTCCTGGGGCTCTGGGTCCAGCCCAGGGCAGACTGGAGCAGCCTGCCACGGCCCCAGCCTGCTGCCACTGCGGTGGGGACTCACCTGCATCAGTCACAGCCCCTTTCCCCCCCACCCTGACTGATGAAGGCTGGAGTTACACAGGAATTCC